CCTTCTCGGGGTACACCTGCACGTCGCCCATCACAGGATCGTTGTACGTAGAAATCACGACATTCACGTTCTGCAGCGTCTTCACGAAGCCCTGGTACGCCTCCTCGGGATCCAGCTGCAGCTCCAGGATGGCGCGGTCCACCTTGTTGATGAACACAACAGGGCGGATACGCTCCGTCAGTGCCTGGCGCAGCACCGTCTCCGTCTGCACACACACACCCTCCACGCAATCGACAACAACGAGGGCACCGTCGGTCACACGGAGTGCCGCGGTCACCTCGGAGCTGAAGTCCACGTGCCCGGGAGAGTCGATCAGGTTGATCAGGAAGTCACGCTTGTCGTCGGGGAGGTCGGCGATGATCTCCGGCGGCACGTGGTAGTGCATGGAAATGGCGGTTGACTTGATCGTAATACCACGCGCAATCTCGTCGGCACGGGTGTCCATAATGCGCTTGTCACCGGCATCCTCCATCTTGATGATACCGGCAGCCCCCACAAGCGAGTCGGACAACGTCGACTTGCCGTGATCAACGTGTGCAATCACGGACATGTTGCGGATCTGTTCGGGGTAGTCCATGAGCGCACGGACCTCATCAACAGTGAAGTTTACCATCTTGAATAGCTTAAAGCAGGTGCTGAATCTGAAAAAGGAGTGAAACAAAAAAGAACAGAAAGAAAATCACTCAAGGAAAGGCCCTTGACACACAGCAGAACCAGCACCAGAGGCAACGACAGCAAAAAAGACGGTGGGGGGGAAGAGGAGATCAGCTCGGCCTGGGACATGCAAATACATACCAAAATGCACTCTCAACGCCAACTGCGCAAGAAGTACCAGCTGGCGAGAGGGGGGAGAAAGCCACAACTGCTGGACGCGGATGTGTCCAGTACGAGTCGCGACCCTCGCGTTCGCCCCAGTGGCTTATGCTTCGATTTGATCTTGTGGCATCTGCTTTTTGTGTGTGTCCTTCGAGCTGTTCCCCGTTTCGGGCATTCCCTTATTTATTTTTTCATTCTTTCCACGTTGATGTCTTTTTTCATGTCCTTCATTAATTCGTTGCCATTCGCGGAGACTTTTTTCCTCTTTGTCTTCTTGTTCTTATTTCATTTATTCTTTATAACTGCTTTCCCTCGCGGGAGCAGGCACCTTCGTTCGGCTTGGTGCACGTCCACCTACAGTTCTATTACCGTCTTTACTAATTACCCACCAACCCCAAATTAGTCCGTCTACTGCCAACACCCTACAGCTTGTCAAGGAAGGTGTCCAGCGGCGGAATGTCCGGTTTCAGGCCCTTGCGCTGGCGCACACTCAGCGTCAGTGTGTTGGCCTGCGACTTCGGCTCCAGCGGGTCGCCCGGGTACTGTTGCCAGTGGTCAAACACACACTGCGGGAACGCCTGGCCGCCAGTCCCGGCGCGCAGGTCGGCGGTGAAGCCAAACGACTCCGCGACAGGGAGGTACGCCCTGACATTGTAGATGGGCGTGCCGGGGCGATTCTCCTCGCCGATGATGACACCGCGGCGGCGCGTCAGCACATCGTAGATGCCGCCCACCGCGTGCTCCACCGTCTGGATATCGACCTGGAACATCGGCTCCATCAGGCGTGGCGCAGCGGTCAGGCAGCACGCGTAGAACACACGGCGGGCGGTGGGAATGATTTGGCCACCACCACGATGAATGGCGTCCGCGTGCATCGTCACGTCCTCCACGTTGATGCGCACGCCACGCATGTTCTCGTCGCACAGCACACCCTCGCGCGTCGCCCACTGCCACGCCGCAACGAACGAGTCCTTCATCTCCGACATGTTCTGCACTCCCTTCGTCACGTCCACAACAACATTGGGGCCGCGGTTGTCGGGACCATAGCACCAGATCTTGCGCGCTTCTGCAACGTCCCAGTCAAACTTGTCCGCAAGGAAGCGGGCACGCACCTTCGGGTCGGCCTCCGAGCCGGCGTTCAGGCCTTCCTCCATCTCGACGCACAACTCCTCCGTTAGCGGAGCACCGCGGCAGAACAAACGGTTATGCTTGTTCGCGGACTTGGAAAGACACTGGATCGACGACACATCCGTCACCGTTTCACGGAAGGACACAACAGGCTCCGACACCTTCAGTGGTGCGCCGTTCATAAAGTCTTCCTGTAGGTCCTTGAGGCAGATCTCCAGGTGAAGTTCGCCAGCGCCGGCAACAATGTGTTCGCCACTCTCCTCAATCGTGCACACGACAAGGGGATCAGACTTCGAGAGGCGCTTCAGACCCTCGACAAGCTTCGGCAGGTCGGAGGGGTTTTTCGCCTCCACCGCAACACGCACAACGGGAGACACCGAGTACTTCATGTCTCGCAGCGGGTGGGGGCTCTCGCCGTCGTCCGTGATGGTGGCGGATTTCACAATGTACTTGTCAACACCCACCAGACCAACAACGTTGCCGCACGGCATGTCCTCCACTGCCTCCTGGTAACGACCCATCATCAGCACCGTGCGCTGCACCGGCTTGTCCTCGTACAGGTCCTGCTTCTTGCCAAAGACGTAGTTGTTGCCCATGATACGCACCTTCTGCCCACTGCGCACCTTGCCAGCAAAGATACGACCGAATGCAAAGAAGCGGCCGCGGTCCGCCGTCGGCACCATCTTGCTGATGTACAGCATCAGCGGCGCCTCTGGGTCGCAGTTCTTTATGCCAACGTAGTACTTGTCGTCTGGACCAGACTCCCCAGAGTACAGCATCTCCGCACGGTAGCTCTGCGCCTTCTTGGGCGAGGGAAGGTGTGCGACAATCATCTGCAGCAGCGTCTCCGCAGCAGGCAGAAACTTCATCATAATCGACTTCAAGAGCTTCTTGGGCACCTGCTCGCGCTCGTCCGCCGTCAGGCTGATGTTCAGCGACTTCAGCATCTTGTCCACCTTCTCCTGCTTCTCCGTCATCACGGCATCAAAGATCTGGTAGATAGGGTCAAGGCAAAACTGGCAGAAGGCGCGGCGCACGCGTTCCCCGGCAGCATTTGTCTCACTCTTGATCCACTTCTTGTTCTTCGCGTCAAAGAAGTTGTCACCCCACAGACGCTCGCACATCTTCGCCTCGTCAACACCAAACTTCGCCGCGTACATCTTGGCAAAGCGAGTGACAGAAAAGGCCCACGCCTGCAGGCCGGAGCCGATGGCAACGGTGCCCTTCTCGGGGTACACCTGCACGTCGCCCATCACAGGATCGTTGTACGTAGAAATCACGACATTCACGTTCTGCAGCGTCTTCACGAAGCCCTGGTACGCCTCCTCGGGGTCCAGCTGCAGCTCCAGGATGGCGCGGTCCACCTTGTTGATGAACACAACAGGGCGGATACGCTCCGTCAGTGCCTGGCGCAGCACCGTCTCCGTCTGCACACACACACCCTCCACGCAATCGACAACAACGAGGGCACCGTCAGTCACACGGAGTGCCGCGGTCACCTCGGAGCTGAAGTCCACGTGCCCGGGAGAGTCGATCAGGTTGATCAGGAAGTCACGCTTGTCGTCGGGGAGGTCGGCGATGATCTCCGGCGGCACGTGGTAGTGCATGGAAATGGCGGTTGACTTGATCGTAATACCACGCGCAATCTCGTCGGCACGGGTGTCCATGATGCGCTTGTCACCGGCATCCTCCATCTTGATGATACCGGCAGCCCCCACAAGCGAGTCGGACAACGTCGACTTGCCGTGATCAACGTGTGCAATCACGGACATGTTGCGGATCTGTTCGGGGTAGTCCATGAGCGCACGGACCTCATCAACAGTGAAGTTTACCATCTTGAATAGCTTAAAGCAGGTGCTGAATCTGAAAAAGGAGTGAAACAAAAAAGAACAGAAAGAAAATCACTCAAGGAAAGGCCCTTGACACACAGCAGAACCAGCACCAGAGGGAACGACAGCATATGTCGTTTTGATCAAAGCGTTGTTTGTTCTCGTAGTTTTTGTTGTCGTTGTTTTTCTTTTATTTATTTATTTTTTTTTTTTTTTTTTTATGAGGTCCATTGACGTGCGCGAAGTTTTAATGTGAGTGGCTTCGCGTACAGAATTTGTGACCTCAAAATGTAGTTTTTATCTGGCATCCACCCCGGGAATGTGTGATCAAAGTCGTTTAGCACGTCCGTTGCAAGTCTCTTTGAGCATTTTCTTCCCAGGCCATCTGCATTGCCTCCTGGTTTTGTTGCAGCAATTATGCTTTCATTCCAACCACGAACGTTAACGAACTGAACGTTGTGGTCTCCAAATAGATGGAGTAGGGGCAGAAGGTGTTCCACGGTGGGAATGCTGTGCTCATTGATGAGAAGAATTCCGTTAGGCGCTAGAATGTCAAATGCCTGTCGGATAAGAGGCATCGTGTTCACCATGTTTCCACTGAGCGGCTCGAAGAGATCCATAAAGATGAAAGTACACTTTTCGGGGCACTTTTGAATGGTCCTTTCAGCCGAGTCCAAGCAAACATGCGTATTCGCATTTTCCTTCAGCAGGCCGGCAAATCGGCACGTGCTTACTACGGCGGGTTCAATTTCTGCGATGTAAATGTGGGCGTCTTCCCCCAGAATATAACGAATTCCACGCTCCATGCTATTTCCACCCATTCCGAGCAGCATCACCGCCGAGTTGGGTGGAGGAAGGATGGCGCGAGGATCGGTAAGAAAACCATCCCGTTGAGAAATGTGCAGCATACCGTAGACAAGGAAGGCGAAGTGCACCATGTTGCCCGCTACACACTGCAACTGTTCGGGTCGCTGCAGAAGCACCACCGACTGCAGACTGTAGCTGCAATGGTCCCCGACGAGGTGGACATTTTGGTGAACAAAATGCATCGAGCCAAAAGTTAGATGCACCTCGACGAACTCGGGAGGAAAGTCGTTTGCGCGGTTTCTTTTTGAAGGTCTCCGCCAACTCACCAAAACAACCTCCGACTGCACCCAAAGTACATCAAACCCCACAAAGTGGGAGCATGCCTTGCGACTCTTAATAGAAACATCACACGAAAAAACTCGTGGTCTCCGATGGTATGCCTCGCGCAGCTCCACAAACGACTTCCAAAATGGAAGGGATCGCAGAACTTCTTTTTTGATACCGGCCAACGCAATATCTTCAGAAACGGTACTACTGTTCATTGCAAGCAAACCTGTAGTTTTGGGAAAAAAGAAAGGAGCGTCCTCTCCCTCCCTCGCTCGCCCAATTCCCCTTCGTTGCAAACCCTAATTACGCTCAAGCAGTGGCAAACAAACAAAAAAAAAAAAAAGTAAAAAAGCGTTCCTTGCCAGCGCCGCTGTTTCCTCAGGCCTCAGAGATAAAAAAACAAAACGGCAACAAATAATAAAAGTGCGTGAACGTGCATGTGTTGCTCGTAAATGCCTCACATCTTCGACCCTCCTACTTCGCGGAAAGCGGCCGGGGCGGCAGTCGACCAATTGAAGGCCACGCCTTCAGGAATACAAGCCCTCTAAGGCACTCAAGCGGCATGCCGCCCGCGTGTCTAGAATCAAAACTCTCGTTGGGATTATCGCCCTCAAGCCAAAGCCACGCAGAGGGACGATCAACGCGTTCGAGGCAGTCATCCCAATCGCGGGCCCTCGCGTACTCCGCGAGACTGTCATAGATACGCGCCTCACGCTCTGCGCGAAGCTCCTCGGAGTCGCCATCCGTCTCCAGCAAAGGAATCTGCTCCGGCAAAACCCCTGTAAATTGATCTTCGTTCCATCTTCTCATAACGGACTCGTCCGTGGTGGAGCGAATCACGCGTTTGCATACAGTCAGCTCTGGCGATATATTCATGACAATAACATCCCCATTCCGCACCAACGGGCGTTGGAATAAATACTGAAGAACACGAAGCATACCATACGGGAGAAACAGGACATAGTCTCCTGGAATGAGCGTGGGAAGCATAGAGCGCCCCTTGACGGAGCAGCATACATCTGAATTCCAGCCAATAACGACGCCCAGTATTATATACGGCACGTCGTAACGAAGCGCACGAAGGCACCAATGCATTTTACTAATGCCCCTCCCCTCGCCAATACGACCACTTCCGTTCTAAAAAGAAAAAATGCAAATAAAGCAAGAACAACACCGTGTTAAGGTCTGTCGTTGCATATTCTCTCCTCCTCATCCTCAAAGGAGATAGAACGCCAAAACAAAGCAAAACAACAACAACAACAACAACAAAATAAAGCAATGGCAACTCTTATTTATGTTTTACTCCAGCTCCTAGCAAGATTTTTGGAGCTGCAAAAGGTCTATTAGCTCCCTCCGAGCCTTCCCGCAGCCCGTCCAAGATCTCAAATCATGCCGCGACAAAAACATGGCGACAGGTGGTGGCATAACGTAACTTCCACAACAAACGAGGAAAATAAAACGCGTTAAACACCAACAAGATTATAAAAACAATGATTTTTTAAAAAGTGAAACTTCGACGGTACAAAACAGATTAAATTGGTGTGTCACGATAAATGTTCGTGGAAAGGGACGCTCAATGACCCTGCGCATATGACATTCTGTAAGAAACACGCAGATATATATGTATACATATGCGCAAGACGCTCCCCCACCCTTTTCCTCTCCTCTATATTCAGTTTCCTTCGGCCCCTCACTCGCCCATTGGAGAAGTGAGGGAAGTAATGAAATTTCCTTCTATGCGCCGCCAGCGACATCCGTGTGGTGAGCGGATCCAGAGAAGAGAAAACAGACACACACACACACACACACACACACACAAGATGGAACAAAAACTTACCTCATTCGACAGTAAATTTAAGTAAAATCCACAGTTTTTTTCTATCGTCACTCTCCGTCCCTGCACACACGCACAGAAAGTAAGGAGTCAACCATGCACAAAACAAAAAAAAAAAAAAAAAAAAGAGAGAGAAGAAGAGACTTCCCCAAAACCAAAATCAAGTAGATGATATGTGATGAAAAACATCAAACACTTTTCGCCGGAGGAATAGGAGGTCGTCGGTGCCACGTGTGCGTGCCGTACTTTCGTAGTGCCGCCTCATCCGGCAAAATAAGTCCACGGCAACACTCCGAGCCGCAACTACAAGAAAAGGGTCTCATAGTGTAGTCGCAGAACGTTGAATAATCCATTGTAAGTTCCTCTTCCTTCTTGATATCGCGGGCCGCAATGACGTTAAGTGAGTGTTCCTCGCCAAAAATGCAGTTCGGATCACAAGAATGATTGATGGGACGCCACTCACTAGGGTTGCTCTCCCAAATGACGTATACATGGCCGTCGGCGTCAAGGGGCCACGCGTATTCCGCAAAGGTCACCTTTTCCTCCTCCCCCCAGTGTCTATCCACGAAGGGTCGCGTGACAATGGCAAAACTACGTCCCTCATCCTCAAACACGAGCTCACCTCTCTTGATTTCTTTATTGGCGCAAACAAAATACCCCCTTTCATTACCGCCATACCGCACCTCCGCAACAGGCCTTTTACAACTCTGTTCCCCACAACGGACGCATTCCTCCAAGAGCTTCTTGTCAGAGAAGGCCAACAAAAGCTCAGCGTTCAGGTCTACCAAAGAGCAGCCAAGTTCCACATCCTCCAGAAATAACTGATCCGAATAAGGGCTCTTGTTAAAACACAGCTTAGCAAAGCCGGAATTATTCATTACAGTTGTTGCAAAGAAACTGGAATATTTTTCTATGCAAGGGGTGCATTGCTGAAGCCAAACAGCATCTTTGGAGCCTTCTTGTGCGATGGCAACGCAACCGGAGGCCGAAACCAAAGTGACCAGCTCCCTACTCTTCGTGCCGTTTGCTTCCCATACAAGTACTTTGTCGTAACTTTGTAAAACTTCATTCAACACCCTCCGCAAGGTCGGCATATCCGTTACAACGGAGCCAAATACACACTGAAGGGGAGACACAGTCCTTAATTTCACAGGAAATCGCAGGCTGAGCTGCTCAATGTCCTCCTCAGATTTCACTACAGAGAAGAGAGGCATGGGCAGCCTCGCATAAACACACATCATAAAAAGAACGTCAAGAGGCTGTTTCAGCGTCATGTAACGGCAGCCGCCGTAAACAACTTCCAGTTGTTCAAATAATGAGGCCAAGACTGCCTGGCTCGCGCGATCCTCGTCCTCTGTGGTTCCCGTACACAGATTCAAAGCGCAGCGGTAGCAATTGCGAGAGGCACAGAACGTTCGCACGGCTCGGTACATCGATGGGCCGTTACGCACCGGAAAAATTCTAAATGGAAAATTGGCCAATTGCGTGAGCCTGGCGGCCATCTCCTGCTCGTGCAGTGCATCGCAAAAAACGGCCACAATATCACCCCTAGTCATTATTGTACTAGTGCAGTGCCCCTAAAAAATGCAATAAAATAGAAATGTCAAGTAATTTAGTTGAAGGAGCAGAGAGAAAACATTTATTATGCCAAAGGCATAAAGGCAATAAAACGACAGGGCGTAAATGATACCCACCCACATGTCGATTCACCACCTTTACAGGCGTCTACTCGTTATTTTTTTTTTGTTTTTTTTTTTTTTGTTTTTTTGTTTTTTGCTGTTATATACATATATATGTGTATATATGCCTGCTTTCTTCTCCCTTCCCACCCTTCTTTTTACTTCCCTTCTGTGCTTTTGTCCCTTTCATCGGTGCAGTCCATTCCCGCGCGGAAAGACACTACACGACCTGCTTCACAGCCCAAAAAAAAATGAATATCATGACCAGCGGTATGAGCAGAATCCATTTGCCAAATGCATAAAGATAAAGTGCCCGCAGGTGCTTCAAGTAATGAATTATGACCCTTCCCGTTAACTTGCTCTCACCCACCATTCGAGTAGCAAAGTTGAACCCCACTTCCTCATACTTCTGTACGCGGCACTTAACAAAAATTTCCAGCGCAATCTTGTAGCCAATAGGGCTCAGGTCCCTTGCACCACGCTGAAAAACCTCCTTGCGAAGGCCAAAAAAGCCTGACATAGGGTCACTGAGGGGTGTCAGAGGACGAGCAAGCACGCGTGCACCCCACGAGATGACACGTCGATGAATAGGCCAGTCGCCATCGATGGCTACACCTGCACCGTACCTGGTGCCGCAGACAAAATCAACCCCTGGTCTTTCAAGGGCGCGAAGTAGCCGAGGAACCGCTTCAGGGGGATGCTGAAGATCCGCATCCATCACAAGAATGTACTTTCCTTTGGAGTTGGAAATACCATGAATGACTGCGCTGCTCAGCCCGCGCTCTTTCGTCCGAACATCAATGCGTACCCCATATCCTTCCGTCTGGAGCTTCTTCACAACCTCAACCGAGCCATCCTGCGAATTATCGTCAACAATGAGCATCTCCACATCATTCTTGGCAAATCCGGCATCACAGATAGCATCAAACACCCGCTTTGTAAGAGCCTCCAGGTTACCGCACTCCTTGTATGCTGGAACAACTATGGTGTAGCTGGTTGGCATCGAAGAGACGCCTGAATCCTCGCTTTTTTTTTTTTTTGTTTTGTTTTGTTTTATGTTTTATTGTCGTTGTTATTATTTTTTTTTTAACTTTTTGTCCCAAAGATATTTTCCTTTCGTGTTTTTTTGTCGGGAGAAAAGAGAACAGGGACGCAATTTAAAAAGTCTTTTCACGGCCAATGCGCACCGGGACACGCACTCATGCTCCGTGAGGGAAACTTGACAGAGTCACCCGCCCCACTCACGGGCACACGAGGTCCAACACCCATCGATACACTCATGCAGAGACTCAGAGAAAAGAAAAATAAAAATTACTGCTACCCTCCTTTCAGTAATGATCTCAATTTATCTTAAGAAGTTCGATTTCAAAAATAAGATCGGCGTCTGGAGGGATGCCCCAAGCGGGGAATCCCTTCTTCCCGTAAGCATAGTCGCCAGACATTTTGAGCTCAGCCTTTTCACCAGTCGACATCATCAGCATTCCTTCATCCCATCCTCGAATCACCTGCCCAAGCCCTACACGAAAGGCAAAGGGCTCATTGTTGTCCAACGTTGACCAGAACTTCTTCCTGCCGTTGGCGAGGTACCCCGTGCAGTGGACGGTGATTTTGTCGCCCGCTTTTGGCTGCACGCCGTTTCCTGCGGACAGTACTTGCCGAGTGACTCCCATAATAAATAAAGCAATATTTTTCTTTCAAAAAAAAGTAAAACAATACTCCCAGAAAAAGACAGAAGCATACATGTTTACACATACAGCGGCGGATGCAAAGGGATAGAAGAAAAAAATAATAATAATAAAAGGAGAGAATGTTGTTGGGATAAAAGTAAAGGAAAAAAATTAAATATTTGTATATATTTGCGACCGCAACCAGCACGCACAAACAGACACTTCTCCGTTTCTTTTTCTCCCGAGACAACGCTCCCCAGACACACACACTCCTGGAAAAGAGAAAAAAAAAAAGGGAATCGAACCGCATGTTCCCTTCCCTCCGTGCCTCACCCAACATAACACACCAACGCAATAACACCTACAGACGATGCGGAAGCGCACGCTGAAACCATCCGTGAGGCACAATCAAATAACAAAAACTAAAGATAAAAAAAAATGCCTAATGCCTCATTCAATACGAAAAAACTCCACGCGGTAATTTTTCTTTTATTGTCCCCCCGCCATCTACTTGCTTAGTCGTGAACGCAGCATCTCTTTAAGGCGTTCCAGCTCCATCTCCAACTGTCCATTACGAATTTTCAGTTTTTGGCTCCGTGACTCCTCAAGCAACAGCTGTTTCCGCAGCTCCTCACGTCTTTTAGAAAGCACATTCACAGAAGCATTTGTATTCTCCTGCGTTGCTCTAAGTTTCTGTCTCAGTTCAGCCACGGTCCCTTTCAGTTCCTCACACTCGTGGCTCCGACGATCAAGTCTGCTTTGTATCATCCGCTTCTCTGCCTCCAGTGAAGACAAACGGTGTTCCCAAGAGTCGGTGCCTTCAGCGGCAGAGCCGGATCGTATGACGGAGAGAATCAACGTTGCGTCACGCTCCCCGCAGTCAAATTCCGGTGAAAGATGCGGGACAATCCGTCGCAACTCGTAAAGTAAGTTTCCTGTTCTTTCATCCTCCCAATGGTTTGGCATCGCACTTGTAGCCAAATCGCTAAGGCTCGAACGGGGCTTGTTCTCCTCCCGACTCGTTGCATTCACTGGAGAGTAGTCACGACGCCATGAGGGATGTATCTCCTTTGCTCCATGGCCTCCAAGGAGACTTTGCTCCATCCTGTCCGGCTCCCCCTCCGGTCGCTGTAGACAGGTCTTCTGCGACACCGAATTTTCAGCGAGACACGCTTCAGGCACACACTGTTCTTCATCCAAAAACATCTACCGAGCAACTTCCACGGCCGTAAAGACAGTGAAAAAGTAGAAAATTGCAAAACGAGAAAAGAAAATAAATACAGAGAGAAAAAAAAAAAAAAAAAAAAAAAACATATTTGAGTAAACCAAAAATCTCAGCCATGGCGTGCTATAAAGTGATGTCAGATCGCTCTCTCCCTCTCTCTCTCTGTTATGCGCAGACAAAAAAAAAAAAAAACTCCCTTTTTCTCTTTCTCTCTCTTTCTTTCTTTCTTTCTTTTTTTTTGTTTTTGTTTTTACTATTTCCTTTGGGTTAGTGCCTATTCAAGGATTTAAATTACGATCAGGCGTGCTAATTATGCAGTGCGGCCTTTAATGGTTGATTTGAAGTGAACAACAACGACAAGAACAACAAAAATGCGGCGTGGAAAAAAAAGTGGTATAAATTATCATTTGGCGATCGAGATGGGTTGTGCCTGGCGTCTCTCTTGTCTTTGGTTCTCAAAATGCCTCTGTCTCCGGCGCAGGTTGTTGATGCGCATAAAATACTTGGATTCCGTCGTGCGGTAAGAAGACTTTTGCACCACATCGATGTTTTCTCCCTTAACGGTGTAGTCAATGGCTGAACGAACGGCGTAGCTCCCTGAGAGCAGGTCCGCCGATGACCCGTCATGCACGAGCTGTCGAGAGCGCAGCCTCATCGCAAATAATGGCACGTGTCCATCATCCACGTCTAATACAGTTTTCACAAGCTCCGTCGTTGTGGTTTGATACACGCCAAAAAATCCACGCAACTTAATGATGTCCTCCTGCTGCTTCACGGCTCGACGGAACAGACGCGCCTGAAGCTCTTTGCCATCTGTGCCCTTGTACATAATGGTGGTTATGGGGGGGATCGCAAGAAATTTCGGGCTACAACGATCAAACACTTCACGGAATCGCTCTTCATCACCTGCCGACAGAAGCTCCTTTTCGTCTTCAAATCCACTGAGCTTTCGTGGCTCCACTAGCCAGCTCAAATTATCAGGCTGCATTCCACCCAGAATACAGGAGATAACATGCATGTAAGCACAATCAAACTGCATCTTTTCCGAAAATTTGCGGCTCGATACCTTTGTTGTCAAACTCAAACGGAAAACGCGACTAGCATCCGCATAGCGTCGAAGCATCAGATAACTGAAGCCCATGTGGTACAGCAACGACACATATGCCGGAGCCACCACAAGTAAGATTTGTCTTCCACGACCGTAAACATCCAGGGGCTTTAAAGCACTCAACGCACCCATATAGTCGCCCAAGAGCACATTGACTTTGGCTATGGTAACAATTCCAAAAAAGCCACACATCCACTGCGCATGTCGAGCTCCTGGCTTGGTAATTTCATCCAAGTTCTCCGATTGAATAGCCTCCTCAATGCCGGACTCTGCGACAACTCTTTCCATCAGCTGCATTCCTTCGTTCACTGACCATCCAACCCTTCCAGTAAAACGTTTCTGGTAAACCACAGTCATCTGAAATAAAAACTCATCAAAGATGTCCCACAGAAGCCAGTTTGGCACATCGCAGCTCCCAGAGGGAAGGGCATTAAAGAGGTTATTGAACGTATCCCAGGAAGACCTCGCATCATTCGGGCTTACAGCACGGTCAGTAAACAAATGCTTTAGCCGTAAGAAGGAGTAGAGCTGCTCAGCAGTGCGATTTTTAAAACAGTCAGCAACTGCCTTTATCCGTAGTGAGGGCCACGGACGGAACTGCCCGGGACCGGCCATATAGAAGTTCTGCGTTAGTCCTGGGAATTGGTTCTCGTACAACTCATGAAGAAGGCTTGTGTCCCACGAGTCAACCGCCTTGTTCAGGGCCCTGAAGAAAGAGTACACCTCATGTGGGATATCCGACTCAATGTCCGGATTCGTCGTCATTTATCACCTGCTTGATTTCGCGCGCTTTCCTGTTAAAGAGAAACCAATCCACACACCCAGAAAAAAAAAAAAGTGGAGTAAGGCCGGCTTCACCACAAAGTGGAGAGTTAAAACAATCGGACCTGCAAGAAAATTGCACAATAAACAAAGTCAAATATGCGCCTGGGTGAGGCCTCGTCACATGCCCCCCAGAAAAAAGAAAGGGCAAAACACAGTGGGAGGCCACAGCTTGGTTCACTGTACCCAACATCCCCCATAATTCAAAGGAAATTCACCCAGCACACACAAACACCAGTAAACCAAACGGGTCCCAAGTTCATCCATGACAGCCAGGCTCGTTGTGAGCTCACGAAGCGGCAGTCATTACAAGTGCCTCCGCAGCTGCCGGACTCCTCTCCGCGTGAAGAGCCACGGAGGAGGTGGCTGGAACAACAGATGGAACAAAAGCTGCACTCGCCACCCTCCAACGCGATACCGTTAACAACAAACATCAGGATTTCAGTAAAAAGCCAAGGAATGCATCCGAGACGCGTTATCATCGGTTCGGCCCCATCTGGTCACAAATTCCTCCCGCAGGCTCAAAAAAAAAAGAAACCGTTTTAGCCCCGCACTCCTTCATTAGTTTCCAGCCATTTTTTTTTTTCCTTTTTTTGCCTTTCTTGCTTGCACACGGTTTGTAGAAGATGCATTTTAAGCCCTTTTAATTTAATGGTTGGCTACACCAAAGTGTTGCCAGGGCCAATTGCCACATATTGTCGGGGAAAGCCAAGAGCCAGCAATGTTTCCCGCACGGGATTGTTTCTGTTGGCACAGGGCTGACGGCATCAACCAGTGCGCGGGCCAGCTGCGTCTTGCTGAGGCACGCAGTTGTAACACAATGAGGTTTGGGGGCACATGTTACCGTGCAACGTGAGGCGTTGAATTGAGTGGGGAAAGCACAAGGAAAATACACAAAGGGTCTATCATTTCTCGGGATCCTGCTCTTTTAAATAGATGCTTGTGCCGTGACACCGTCAAGCCACTAGTGGCAGTGTCAACAATGTCCCAATGCCAATGCCAACTTACATTGCTAAGGTCCTCTCATGTTCTGTCTTTTTATCGGTCAAGATATTATTTCCTCAATCAGGCAACGAAAAACAAAAAAACTTGAGTAAAAAAAGTGAGAGATTCCAAACAACAACAACAACAACAACAAAAAGATGGCAGCAGCCCACAACATGCAAAAAAAAAAAGAAAAAAGAAAATATGTAAAAAACTCATTTGCGCTTGTGCGTATGCATAAGCAAAAAAAAAAAAGACGCGGTCTCTCTCTATACCCTCACGGCAAAGCGATAGGTATTCCTAAGGCATTGCACAACGTACAGCACGCCAAGGCGATCGCCGGCAAGAAGTATCTCGTCCAGTAGCGGCACATTGAGCAAAGCACGCTTCTCAGTCTGCAAAAATGAAACGCACTTCTTAATATTACGCCGTTTTGCTGCCGTGGCCTTCGCATGCATTTCTATTGACTCGAGCTCCACGCAGCGACGCCGCTCCAGAAGACGTATCATGTGCGCCAAAACAACACCATCAGAAAATATGAGGGACGTTCCGCCCAGCTGGAGATCGCGACAAGAGACGGAAAAAGAATGGTCCGCAGCGGTGTAATGAAAGCCCGGGCCAAGAACCTCAATAAGCCACTTTTGCATCATCGCTACCTCGTCATCCATGTACTCCACGCCGTTCAAAATGGCAACAGGCGTATCCAGTGCACCTAACGTGATATTCGTTTCAACCAACGGTGCAGAAGAAAAGGGTACTTGCTTGGCCTGAGTCGGGCGCCCTGCCCGCCGGCCTTCCGAAAGCGGTGAAGCAATGACGCACCGCGGTGTTGCCCTATCCGGGTCTCGTAAGCCTTCTTCTTTGCCAGGATTCTTTTCGAACAGCTTTGGCGCCAACTCACCCAAACGCTGTTGTTTCTGCACCTCAGACATTGACGCCGAGCTCGACGACTGCGTCACCCCCACAGTTAAGGTATTTGGAACCTGAGAGGAACGTTGTCGTCCAAAGTGCGGTGTATCGGTTGAGCGTGGAGCGTGTCGCCGCGGAGGGACACCATGGGCCATCCGCATTATGTCCTCTAGGAGCAGCAAAATGTATCGTCGATCCCCATAAAACACGCATTCAGGCGATTCAATAAAAAACGGACTCATCTTCGCGGGGCAATATCTCTGCAGCACCGTAAACGCCGCCTGAATATTCTCCATACAGTTGGATTTCACCCTGGGATTCCTGTAAACAGAAAGACGGTTACCCGTGACCCTCCCCACAAGATCGCACAAAGCCGTGCCGTTCGTGAAAAACGGGAAAACAGAAGGAATATACAATGAAGGGAATCCCTCAGTCCGCATGCACCACAGCTTTCTCTGCGGTGCAAGAAAGGGCGCACTAAGGGCGTCTGGAACAGGGGCATCATCAGGTGGTAACTGATGCACAACAGGGTCAGCCAACACATTCTGAGACTGCAAAAAAGCACACACTTCCAACTCAAGAGAACGCATCGCGCTCGGTGTGTAACCCCCTCCATCTGGGTGAGGCTGCCATGTCAGTGACGGAGCTGCCCAAAGCTCTTCGCATGCTATCGGCAAATACGCATCGACAACTGTGCGCATTAAAGTAAAAAGTGCTACTGAATCCCCTCTCAAAATTACACTCTCTGGGCGTAGGAGACGACATTCTCTAGGGATTTGTAAGGTCGCGCCATTCTCCGCAGCCCGCAAGAGATTCAAAGCCACAACATAATTCAACCGAACATCATCCAAATTTTGAGGTTTTAACACAATCGCGGGGTGTGTGGCACGCCCCTCCTTTAAATCCCTATTCAACGCAATACTCACAAGATGATGCAGCGCAACTCCATTCAGCACAGGATCATCGATGCGTCCTTCCGACTCCGTTGGCCCACGTGCCACAATGTTAAGCCGTCGTAAATAGTCACGGACCCATATCTCGTCAACCCGGGAAACAACCCCCTTTTTATCAGTTAAATCATCGACCTCATTTCCCTCTAAAGAAGAGGTCCGTTCCAAGCAGTTACTGACCCTATTAAACTCAGCTAACGTGTGGGCAGTTGACGCAATCCCCTTCGTGGGAGCCAACGGGCAATCCCGAACTGAAACAGTTGAACCGGGTACCTTTTTCGCCGTAGTTTTGTCACTATTCTGAAGAATTGTAGAGGAATTCCACGGAGGAGAGTCCTGAGAGGGTCCGGCGTCAATCCTCCGCTGCTTAAATCGTTTTTGCCGCGCCCCCTTCTCCTGGTGGCTACACACAGTGAGACGTGTCATCGGTGCCGTCGCCATGGGAACAAAAAAAAAATCAGTTTGTGCAATTCGCTGAGACTCTGCGACATTCTCTGACTGCTGATTCTCAGCGTCGGATCGGCGCTTATAAGCCATCAAATGGCGCGCAGCCCTGAGGGACATCAAACGCTCCGTATTCTCACGGAGATCCACGGAACCTCTTAACTGACTCAATTCCACACGCATCCGTTCAATAAGTTCACGGGCCTCCTGGGCAATAACGTCCGTCCCGTCCTCGTCTGTCGGTCGTCGAGGTGGAACGGTTTGACGCGAGGCCGCGCTCGCCAACTCCTCCCGGCACGACTCGTTACTGTCTCCCACACCGTCGACCTCTCCTGTGTTCATTCTCGCAGGATCCACGCCCGCCCTCCAAGCATCCCTCCTCATCCGCAAGAAGAAAAAAAAAAAAAGTAAGGAAAAAAAAAAAAATGAAAAAGAACGCGTTCAAAAAGAGAAGGAGGTGGACGTCGTCACGCAACGATCCGAAAACCAACTCTCCTCCCCTCTTCACACACACACACACACACACACACACCGAATAATAAAAATATTAATAACATACCAAGCGCAGGGCACAAAAAGCGTATCCTGTAAACAAAAAAAGGTGCCGGCTTATGCGTGTGGTGAGCAGCCATCAGCCGCACTCCCGTTGTTGTCTGAGGCCAATGATGACAACGTCGATGTGCTTCTCTCGTCCTCGTCGCTGCGGTGATCACACTGGCAAAGGTTGTCAAAATTGTAGTCGAAATGCGTCCCGTTTTCCTCCGAGTCAAGTGCCAATTGGTTGAGATTGAGACGATCCGGCCGCACAAGTTTGCACGTGGCACAAAGCATGCTGGTCACGTCGTACAGAATCTGCTCACGAACCCTCTTCCTCAAGAAACGGTCGCGGTCCCGCCGCTGTTTGCTGGAGAGCATCTCCTCTGGTTTCATGGTAGCCAGGAGCGAAGGGCCAACCTTCTCAAGCTCACCGTCCAGGTTTCGAATGTTTGCTAGCAGACCAATTAGCTGGTCGCGAAAGGACTCCTTGTCGGAATACTCAGAACTCATTCTGGTCACCACCGTCTCAGCGTACAAGTCCGCCTTCTCCGGTTGCAGCCTGAACTCCTCCAGGCCCTTCAGAAGTGCCGTTAGCTGCAAGAGAGCCTTTGCCCTCGCTGCCTCCGGCACCGTCATGACGGAGGCAAACAACTAATAAAATAAAAAGAGGGACGTCCCAATAAGTGGGGGAAAAAACGCAAAACAATAATAGTAATAACAATAATAGCTGCAATTTAAATAAAAAAAAAAAAAAAGAGAGGCATTAAAGACAACCACAACAGTAGCCAGCCACAATGCAGCCCAAACGTCTTCAGGTGGGAAATAACTCCTGCAAGCGATATTATAATTTCCCTTCTTGTTGCTTTCTTCTCCCTTCATGTTTCTGTTTGCATGTAAAGCAAAAACAATCACGCACAAACATACAGACACAAACAAACAAACAAAAACAAAAACAAAGAAAAAGAAAAAAAAGACCGCTTCACGGAACCTCAACTTTTCTTTATCATTCTTCACACCATGCGCATAAGAGCAGCCACTCTGTTTCCCTCAGATACTGTCATCGTCCTCGCCGCGACGCCACGAAATAAACACCGCATGCCATGCATCCAAATGTAAGAACAATTGCACTGTAAATGAAGGTGAATAGAGGAGCCCACTCTCCCAAAAAATAGTATGTAATCGCCTCCGAAAAATCCGCAAAAGCTCGTGGATTCATAACAAAATGCTTCATTGAGGGTTTCTTCCCCGGTGGCGGGCTCAAGAAGGGGTCTGACCATTCAAACTCCTCGACGGCGACATTTTCTGCACCTCGCTGATGACGCCTAGCCGCTGCCGTCAACTCACTCCTTTCAAATTCCACCACACGAACAAAATCCCGAAAGCATTTTGGGCTCTCAGGCGTGATAACAACCCGTACGGACTCGGGCAGTGACGCCAGATCTTCGCACCAGAGATACTTCGCGTGAACCTCCCTGATGGTGTCCGGCCAATTGAGCAGGGTGGCCATTACGCCTCCGAGATGGTGGTGAGCCGCGCGTGTTAGTGGGTGGTACATGTCGTAATCGTAATTGCTCTCGCCAAAGTGGTCCAGGAGTATCTGCGTGATGCGAGCGAGGTTCTCCGAGTCGGTTCTTTCATTGGCCACCCAGTACAGGGGCGGTGGAGTACGAAGTGCCACCGACGGCTGAAGCGACTTATCACGAATCACACGCTTCACTTCCTCCACATCGTGTTGAGTCACCGCCTCCCGCAGTCGTCTTAAAGCGGCTCGCGTCGCTCCATCATCAGCCGACACAAAACACAAAAATTGGCAAAACACTAGCAACAAAAGCACCATAAACTGCTGGAAAACCTGCATTTTATGGTGCATCTAACAAAAAAAAAAAAAAAAAAAAACCGAAATAAAAACAATATTGTGCCAAATATATAAAACTGAACTGAATCCATTAATGAAACCGTCAAAGAAGTGCGGAAATACACAGACCCCATATTCCATTTCGTTCCTCAGACACGCACCCTCATGCCCTTTTGTTTTTTTTTTTTTTTTTTTTGCCCATTCCCCCAAATACATACAAGCACACCCACATAGCAGCCTTGCCTTAAGCCACCGCGTTTCCCTCTCTTTTCCACCGCCCCTCCTCGCTCATCAATTCGTTGTCTCTTGCAGTAATTGAGTCAGCTGGAGTTTTCCTTGTAAATACAATCTGGGTCACGAGCAACAACAGAACTGCACCTCAGCAAACCCATCGCGTCTCCTTCACTGGGATGACTCAACTCCAGCACGGCGGAAAGACGCACTAAAAGTTCGCATGTAATAAATGCGGTTATTCCCCAGACGAGTTCACCAGGGAAATTTTCCCGCAGCATAGGAAGCAACCCACCGTCCTCTGGAATTGACGGTGTATTTTTTGTGGGGCAAACATCACCGCAGACCACAGCCTGCGATTCACTCGCAAAAAAACAAGGAAAGTAACTTGGCATACCACCTGTTAAAGAGTGCCTTTTAATAAGACGACAGTGTGTTCGCTCAGACTCCAGAAGCAGACGGGACAGGTGCATGTAATGAATAGAAGCCACCTCAACTGGACTTTTGCAAACCGGCTCTACAGCGGATTCGGCGACAGCAACCACGGGAAACACCTTGGATCCGCCGTCAAAAGAATAAATCGGATGCAGTGTGCCAATGACAAAATAGGACGATGCAGGGATGCCTATTTCCTCCATGGTCTCGCGCTGAGCGGCGGCTATAATCGTCTCGCCATGATCCACCTT